TCTTATGACGGAGGGTGGTGGTAAAATTCGACAACTGCCGAACTTTATCTATGACTGCTGGAGGGAAATTTGTCTCCCATGGTGACCAATAAGCCGCTTTAACATGTGGTGGCGACGCCATTGCATGGTGTCGAGATGTTTTTCAAATGACAAATGGTGACCGATTTCTAAATAATCTATTAGTTCGGGGACCAAACCAAAATTATACTATTAAAAATCTTACCACTTGCACCACTTATCTTTGAATATAATTCACATATCCGTGTAAGTCACCGCCCCAGAGTCCGATATCGTCGGCCCGGTCACCGGACGGGATTCAATGGCGCAAGGGCAACCCCAAAACCAACTTCCGGTAATCCTTCATTAACCCACGATTCTATACCAAATTCTCCATTGAAATTACTCGATTTCTAATTTGATTAAATTTTTATTTATTGTATGATTAATTTTTTTCTTTTACTTTCTTCAATGATTATTTTGTTTAGAGGTGAGTAAAACTCGATTCGACTCAAAAGTATATTTTTTACTCGACTAGATTAAAAAAACTCGACTCGAAATGACTTTGAGTTGTAATTTCATAAACTCGACTTGACTAAAAAAATTTCAAGCTCGAGTTGTAAAATACAACTCGAATAACTCAATTTTTTTAGTAATAAGTATATGAATTTTCAAGTTTGAGTCGAATAAATCAAATAAATTTTTTAATCTAATACAAATGGAATATTGCTTGTGGTTATTGGTAGAGACGGAAATAATCAGATTTCAATTGTATGAACAATTGTTGAAGGGGAAGGGGAAGGGGAAAAATCAAGGAGATGATTTTTGCATAAACTTATGGTTGGCTTAAAGCATCCTAACGATGAAAGACTATTGTTGGTCAATAACGAATAAATTGGTCAAATGACCACACTGAAATCTTTTTTGATCTAGAAGGTAACAATGAAAAAAAATTATACAAAAAGGTCACAATGTTTTTTTTTTTCTTTTAAAAGTATAGAGACTTCTTTTACCTTTTTACCTTTAATAAATGAAACGTAACGAAACACGACGATAATTTTAATTTAAATCTTTAGTAAGTACCATACATAAAAGAATTTAAAAAGTAAATGATTTTAGTACGTGTTTATTCTAAAAATTTGATTTTTTTGTTATTATTTATTTTATTGACGTGTACGTTTTAATATTTTATTTGTGTTCACCTATTATAAAAATGAGTAAATTATTCAAATGATCATTTAATTACGGGTTGATGTGAATATGACCGATATATTTTAATTTTGGCAATATGACCATATGACTATTTAAATGGTTTCAATGCATTCCCTTATCATTAAAAGCAAATGTTGCAGATGATGTGAACCTCTGACTTGTCGTTAATCAATAATTGTCGAATCAATTACGTAGTTTGTTTTCAAAAATAAGTGTTTACATTTAAATTACTTAAATAGTTATGCGGTCATATTGTCAAAATTGAAATAGTGTAAAAATAAGAGTAAATTAACCATCGACCATTTAATTATTTAGCCCTTTTACTTTTACCATCGATCTTTCAATTTTGTCAATCACACCATTAAACTGTTTAATTATTCTCAATCAAACCACTTGCCAGTAAAAGTTAATAGAATAGGTGAGGTGACAATGAAAAATTATGGTATAATCACTCATTTGGTCTATATTATCTATATATTCTCTCAATCTAGTCATACTTTTAATAAATTAAAATAAAGTTAGTCCTCCAACAAAATGGTGACATGTGGCACAACACATGACATCATTCGATTGGAGGATTAAATTTATTTTATTTTATTAAAAACTGGAATAAATTGAGAAAATATGTAAATTACATGGACCAACTGCAGTGCCATGTGTTAACTTTTACCGGCAAGTGGCTTGATTGAGAATAATTAAATAATTTAGTGGGCTGATTGATAAATTGAAAGATCAGTGATAAAAGTAAAAGGGCTAAATAGTTAAATGATCAATGGTATAATTTACCCGAAAAATAATTGCAATTGTTTCAAAACTATTAATGACTTAAAGATAATTAGACCATCAAAGTTTGGAGTGACCATTGCCCTCCCACCTGTAACATGGGTCCCTCCCTATATACGATATTGTTAAAAAAAATAATTGAATGACCAAAACAAATATATTTATAGATCAAATACCGAATAGGTGGTTTACCCTATAGTTTGAATTAAAACCAAACTTTTAGATGATAATCTCAAGTCAATGACATTAGCACAGTTGGAGGGACACCCGTTTATATCGGATCCCAATTCTCTTCCATTCCTTAATTTTCTTCTCACCGTCGTCCCCATTGGAAAAACAAGAACCCTCATCTTCATTGCATGTCTTGTCCAATTCCAAATCTTGAACAAAACAGAAACAAACAACTTTGGTTTCTTCTTCTTCTTCTGGTCGGTCTGGTTTTACATGGGGAATGTGAAGTCGAACGTGGCGGCAAGATTTGCATTCTTCCCACCAGACCCACCAACGTACGAGTTTATCAAGAATGAAGATGGGCGGCTGGTTCTTCAAGGCGTGCCGGCCGACAAGAACATGGATGTTCACTTGCTCGATACCAAAGGTGGTAATAAGATCGTCGCCACCTTTCGGAAACACCTCGCCGCTCGTTTAACGTTGTTGTATTCACATGGAAATGCTGCTGATTTAGGGCAGATGCATGAACTCTTCAACGAGCTCAGGTCCCACCTTCGGGTTAATATCATGAGGTTCGATAGGGATTTAAATTTCAATTACGACTACATTTTTAGTTAAGTTGTATTTATTGTTATCGCGGACATAATATATATTATCGTAGACGACACATTTATCGTTATATAACGATTTATTCTAATAATTTACAATTATTTAAATTCGTGATTGTGATGATGAGAGAATTATAATTGTTATCGCATATAATGACTTATTTTTTTTTTTTAAATTTGGATAAAGAGTTGCTATCGATGATCAATGAACCGAAGAACATGATAAATAATAGAGAAGACTCTCTCGCTTTTTCTCTTAGGATTAAGATCGTTTCATTGTTTATCATCTTTTTTTAATTCATTGAAATCATCGATCATGACTCTACGCTTAAATAAGAAGGAATTGACCGTAAAATATCGTCATAATCATAATTCTTCTACCCATATGTTATTTTTTATATTATCATTTTTACTTTTGATTTTGTAGTTATGATTATTCAGGATACGGATTGTCCACAAGCGAAGTAGAGCGACTCTTTCAAGATTGTTCAAATTTGTATTTATATAATTTAATTAAAAAAAATAAGCGCCTAAATTATATCTCTTTTTTATTTTTTTTTATCGAAGTAAGTATCTAATGTTTCTTTCGTTACCATTTAAAATACCTAAAATTTCATTTCGTGAGCATTTTAAGGTTATCCTACTTACAGTGATTAGAAAAAATCCGTTAACCAATAGTTGTTTGACACGTGACATTATTACGCTATCATTTTAAGATAATCTCATCAACCATCATTAAAAAATGTCAATTAATAGAGAGCAGGCGGTCAAAGATTTGTATCAGGGATGGAGCTCCTTAGGGCCCAAGAGGCCCAGCTCATGTTAAAATTTGTATATTCGATATAATTTTGATTTAATAGTATTTTGGTTCATGTAAAAATAAATATTTAAATTTAAAAAATATAAAAAATATTAAATATTTAATCAAGTAAGGGTCGAACTAAAGAATGATAAATCTATGTTCTCAAATTTTTGGTCTAATTACAATTTAAGTCATTGTAAGTTTAAATATTAGACAAATTAGAAGTTATTTTTTAAGTTTTGAGTTTTTTTTTAATTTAGGGTGAATACAAGATAATATTTGTACAAAAACTTTAAATTATTTGACAATGAACGCTCATATCCCTACATACGTGCTTGAACTCGGAATTTCAAGGATAACAACAACCCTTAATCACTAAAGTCGCTTGATTCATGTTAAATTTCGAGTTTAAATACCTAATAAATCTTTACATTTTTCTTAAATAATCTAATATTTCGACCATTGCCAGTGATGTCTGATCGGACAATGATATATGAGATTTATGGATTAGTAATTTAGAACACTTATTTTTTTTATTTTTTTATATTGTGAATTGCTTGAAAATGTTTGTTAATTCTCGTGCAACTTCAATATAGCCATCTGAAGTAAACACATATCATGACGTAGAAGCAGTGTACAATTATTTGAAGAACGAATATGGAGAGGAAGATTTGATTGTGTATGGCCAATCCGTCGGAAGCGGAACCGACTCTCCATTTAGCTTATCGTTTAAAGAAACTCGGTGGCGGCGTTCTTCACAGCGCCATCCTTTCCGGCCTTCGGGTCTTATATCCGGTCAAGATGACGTTCTGCTTCGATATCTTCAAGGTAAGTTTCACCGTAACACGTCCTTATGTCATTTCGTATTCGATTGGAACTTGAAAGGTCTTTCCGATCGGTATTTGCAGAACATCGACAAAATCCGGCACGTCAACTGTCCGGTTCTGGTTATTCATGTAAGTGATGTTCATGTCTCTGTCCCCCATCTTTGTCGAATGATATCAATGGTTCACCTTCGCAGGGAACGGAAGACGACATTGTCGATTTCTCTCACGGAAAGAGATTGAGGGAACTCGCTAACGAGAAATATGATCCTTTATGGGTGGAAGGTGGTGGCCATTGCAACCTCGAAATGTTTCCGGAGTACATTAGGCATCTACGCAAATTCATAAAAGCGATGGAGGAGCTTTCGATCACGAAGCCGGCTAAAGAGCTTACGTCTACCCCCAAGCATTGCAGAGACTAACCATTGTAAATGCTTGAGATTGAAGACGAAGTGAAGTGCTTCGAAGAAGGAATCATGAATCCGAACACGTATAGTTTCATCCTCTTGCCCCCATTGAGAGGCCGCCGGGGCTTCATCTGTTTCTCTGAGATTTATAAATTCATAGGGATCATAGATATGCAGTCTCCGATTCAGATTCGTATTTTGAACTATCGATATTCATAGGGTTTCATGTATAATATTACAAAGTTGAACTCAAAACATTCAGCAAGAAAGAGACGAGAAATAGAACAGAGCATACCAAAAATGAATCGGCGGCGGACTTTGACTCGTTCCATTGCCATTCCTACGGTCCACCACGTTTTCCGACATTCGGTCTATGGCCGGGAATCTATGTAACTATTGTAATCTCATCTTCTCATGGATGCAAGGCAGAAAATCTGAAAAAGAGAAGATCTTATAGTAATATGTCCACACAGTAGTATGACAGTTTATTCCCCTTCCCAACCCATTTGTCGAGCTCTTTGCTCCCACGATGTTGTAACTTTCCTCTCACGGATTAGCAAGGCCTCGGCTCGCTCTCTTGCTTCCTCGCAGGTTTCGGTGGCCGAGATACATTTTTCAGCCTCCTTTTGGTACTGGGAAGCCACCCTTTTCGCCTCACCAAAGGTGATGTTCACATGACGGGAATGCTCGTCGGCAACAGCCTCCTGCAACTTCAACTCCTCCATCAAAATGTCCACGAATTGCTTCTCCATCTCTTGTTTGAGATCAGGGTCATTGCTTCCACAATCTGTGACATCATAGTTCATATCAGGCATACATGATTCTGGTTCATCAGATGAAACGGCAACGACTCGATATAGGTTAAAAAGTCGAATTCGAAGAAATAAGTCATAAGTAAAACCGACTTGAGTTGATAAAATAAACTCTAACCTGTGACTGAGAGATTGCTCAATCCTACAGAAAAAGAACAAAAGCACAAAAAAGATGAGTAATTCACTCAGACAACTACAGTTTCGAGTAGCAGACACATGCACACTTGACACAAACTTTTACAACCAGTGCCATCGAAACTAGCAGAAACACAAAAGGAGGAAATCAATGGCGAAAATGCATAAGCTGCGGATTCGACATGATAGATCATCATCACAAGGTAATATAGTCCAAACACAAGAGAAGAGGTAATGTCAGGCGTGAAAGAAACCCGAAAATGTAAAGACCAGTTCATCGTCCTAGATGTAAAACCCGGAGAGTGTGTAGTTTATATCTCCCTACATACCGAAAAGTAGCAAAATAACAGGACAAAGGGAACCATAACTCTTTTCTACGACATGTTATTGTATGGTTAGTAAGCCCTACAATCTCGAAATGTCGATCACCATTGATAATGCAAAGTGAGAAATCATCGATCGAGTATCGGTTATTGTGAGTGTTTAAATATAGTAATCATAGTTTCTCTCATTAAGTGATCAGCGGCTTTTCAACACGTAACCGCCGTGCTATCTCCGGACACCATCACTCTTTTTTCCATGTTTCAGATACCACCATCTATTTGGTTGCCTATGCTCTCTCCTTACCCATTCTAGCCATTTTCATTCTGTAAAGATCAACCTTCTTCGGATAGAAAGAACAATACCGACTGAGTTCCATCTTCTTCGTTTGGGTGCACGAATGTAATACTAATATTAACAGAGTCATCATCAGTGATGGACCGAGGAGACACCCAGCAGTTGCCCATAAAAATTTCAAATTATCGTATGTTATAGATATTTTCTTTGTATTTTCTATTGATAATTTATTTTCGACCTCTAAAGTTTTATAAATTCGCCACTAAAAATAAGCTTCACAAATAAGTACCTAAAGTTTTCATTTAAGTATCTAAAATATTTTTTTGATCAAAATAAACATCTAAAGTTGAAACGTAATATTAATTAAAGAATACTTAAGCCCAAAAATATTATAAGTTGTCACTCTAACATAAAATCTTACTCCTAATCATCGTTCACTTTAACTCGAAACTCCTTACAATTTTGTCCCACAAGAGATCCCAGATGTGGGATTGAGTTCATTACTCAACATATGATTAAGCAAAGCAAGCACAAATCCGAATTCAAATTAGGGTTTACTCGCAAATCAACACCCAAGCAGCAGCAACAAATCAAAACCCCAAATCGAAGAAACAGGAACTTCACAAAGAATTAACAAACAAACTCAAACCCAAATCTCAGAATTCAAAGTTAGCAACAAAACAGCAGATCAAAACTTCAAATTCCTCAAATGGGCAATCCATAAGTAAATAAAAAATCTGACAGTAAATCCAGAATCACAAAAAAGGGAAGCGATACCAGGCGCAACGTTGAGGAGGGAAAGAGGAGGAGGACAATCACAGTTGCAAGGAGGACAAGAAGATTTGGAATCAGTGAGCTTGAGAGTAGTTTTGTTGAATCTCCAGTAAAGAGCTGGTCCACAAACTGCAATAGCTGAAACTACAGCAAATTTTACGAGGCATAGCCTCAAGCAAGTCCCTGGTGATGATCGCCTTGACATGGTTTACTATCTTCTCTATCTCTTTACTTCGATTCTCTCACTCTTTCTCTTATAGTGCTGATGGAACACTGAGATCTAAACAGGGGTGCATTGATTGGTGACTATAAAAATGAAAACTACTGCTTCAACTGCTTTTTAATGTTTTCATTCTCATGTCATTTTTCCATTAACCTTTAGAAATTAGCTTCTTTCACCCAAAAAAATAAAATAAAATAGTGTAAATTACGTGTTTAATATCTAAACTATCAGTTTTAATTTGTTTTAGTATTTAAACTTTTAATTTTTTAAATTCATACCTAAAGCTTAGTTTTTATTTTATTTTAGTACCTATCATTAAAAACTTTAGTTTTGTTTCATTTTAGTACTCCATCCAAAATTTATCATTAAGTTTTGAAAAAATTAAAAGTTTATGTACTAAAACGTACCAAAAAGGATAGTTTAGGCACTAAACACGTTACGTTTTTAATGGTGGGTATTAAAATGAAATAAAAATTAAACTTTAAATATGGTTTAGAAAAAATAACATTTTAAGTATTAAAATATATCAAAACTAATAGTTCAGATAGTAAAAGTAGGTACTAGACCTTTAGCTTCAAAATCGGGTTTCACCAAAAACAATCAAGATTAAATTATAAATTTTATCACTCAAATTTAATTTTACTCCTGTTTTGGTCGGTAAATTTTAAAAAATTTCATTTTAATCACTAAAATTTTAATTTACTCATATTTTAACCTATAGAACATTAAATCATAAATAAAAGGATGATATAATAGTCATATGTGTTGAAGTGGACTATTTTTTATTGACATGTACATATCATCAATTTCATATTTTCCTTTTTATCTTTTGGTTTTATCTTTTTTTTAGAGATTAAGATTTACAACTTCATCTCTTTGTCACATTGACGTCATAATCAACACGTTTTCTTCAACCACTCAATATATCGTTGAGCTTGTCTCATCGTCTCTGTTCACTTCATTAGTTTACATTTTTCTAAATCTCAAAACTTGCAAAATTCAACTTAAAACTTAAAAGTCGTAAAACCCCAAAACCTAAATTTAATTAGATATTATATTTATTGAATTAAATTAAATTAAAAGTATGAATATATTGATAAAGTGATTAGATATAAGAATTAAATGTGTAATTATACTAATTTTTTAACACCCACACATGTTACTCTACTAAACTATAGATGTTGATGACTTGATTGACAACACTTAAATAGTCTGATTGACAAAATTAAAAAAATAATGGTCAAAATAAAATACACTCATAATTAAGTGGACATAGATCTAGTTTACCCAAAATAATACTATATTTTTTATTTTAAAAAAACTTGCGAGCAATGCATAGTATTAAACTGCGACTGCAACTATATCATAACTAGGGGTGTAAACGAGTCAAGTCAAGTTTGAGTATTTCTGCACTCGACTCGAAAACTCGCGAGTTTAAAATTTTTAAGCTCCTCGACTCGAACTTGAAATCTTGAACTGAAGCTCGTGAGCAGCTCGAAATGAAAAAAAATTCTTAAACTTAACAAGATTGAATCCTCAAACTCGAACCTGAACCATAAATATATAAAGACTTATTGTATTTAAAAAAAATCAACACATAAATATTAATATTATTAATAATTTTTTTTTAAATAAAATCTTAATATATTATATTTTCGAGCTGCTCACGAGCTTTTCGAGTCGAGTATCAAGTAGCTCGTTTCTGCTCATTAAGAATTCGAGTCGAGTTCAAGTTCGAATCGAGTCCATTCAATCCGAGTATTTATCGAACCTTAATCGAGTCGATCTCGAGTAGCTCACAATCTATCTCGTCTCATTTACAACCCTAATCATAACGATTTTCAATATCGTCGTGACACCACATTAACATCCACAATTTAAAAATAATTTTTTTTAGAAAACAAGTTACATGTAACGTTTAAAATATTTGTAACTACTACATTACAATGGCATTCATTATTTAATACTATAGATAATACCTAAATAACATGTAAAGTACACAAATGATTCATTGGTTATAGAGTACTATTTTATTAAGTCCATCAATTATTAAAAGTTACAAAATAATCCTTCAACTATAGAATATTGCTTTGTTGAGTCCCTTGACTATTAAAAGTTACAAATTGATCATCCAACTATTCATTATATTCCAAACTCGTCCTTTTCGTTAAAAAAATTGACGGTATTCCAAGTTAAATGCTAAATTACTGATTATGATATGATAAAAATATGATCCTAGAATCTCGTACGACTATCCTATTTCAGTCATCATGTTAACGTCCGACTTAGATAAATTTCAATTTTTAGCAAAAAAAGGAGTTTGGAATATAATGAATAACCGAGTGACAATTTTCTAAAATATTTTATAATAAAATAAATTTTATCAATATTATGATTATTTCTAACAAAAAAAAAAGAATTTCAAACATATGAAACTAATATAATGTCACAAAACAGCTCTATGATTGCAACATTTTATTTAAAAATGTCATCTTTCGAATACTTTTAGAAACAAAATCGTAACATCTTTTTCATAGTTTGGACCTTCTAGATTTTAATACTCTGTGACGTATCGCATGCTACACTTATAGATAGATGGACCTACCATCCGCTTCAGATGGTAGAACAAGTGAATGCCATAGCCATCTTTGTCTACAAGTTTTACAGTATACTACAACACTGATTGTTTTTCTTAGCTTGATTGTAAAACATCTGTTCCAACAACCAAAACACAGGTTTGATGTTAGCAGCAACATATTGTTCAACTCAATTCAGATGATGAAGATGACATGGTTTTAATAATAACCAAGATGGGTTGTAAAGACAACAATAATTCCTATAAGAACATGAACGTGGGGAGGGGTGAAAAAAAAGTAAAAGTAGGGCTGACAAAAAAAAAAAAAAACCGATTCGAATTAAACTATACGATTTGATTCGGTTTGAATTTTTTATCTTACGCTTCAGCTTCAATTCGGTTTAGTCATCTAATTTTATAATTCGATTCGATTTTTTTATATGAAACTTGTTTGTTCCAAATCGAACCGGGTTAAAGAAGAAAATCTAAATCAAATAATTATCTTACACATGTACCTGAGATGCTGCACTCAGATCTGAGCTCTTCTCAACCAAACTGTCCAGCTTCTCACCTCGTGCAAGCACACTGTCAATAGTTTTATGCTGCATTCATTCCCATGATTGAGAGAAGAATTAACAATGAATCAAATCCCAGTTAACATGTACATACATACATACATACATACATACATACATACATACATACATACATACATACATACATACATACATACATACATACATACATACATACATACATACATACATACATACATACATACATACATACATACATACATACATACATACATACATACATACATACATACATACATACATACATACATACATACATACATACATACACACATACATACATACATACACACACACATACATACATACATACATACATACATACACATACATACATACATACATACATACATACATACATACACACATACATACATACATACATACATACATACATATATATTAATAACACAAGACTTTTGTATTTGAATTATCATAAATAAAATTTTAGGTAAATATAATTAATAAAATAAAGTTAAAAATACATCAAATGTTACTATACTTAAAAAAAACTATACATACATACATACATACATACATACATACATACATACATACATACATACATACATACATACATACATACATACATACATACATACATACATACATACATACATACATACATATTAATAACACAAGACTTTTGTATTTGAATTATCATAAATAAAATTTTAGGTAAATATAATTAATAAAATAAAGTTAAAAATACATCAAATGTTACTATACTTAAAAAAAACTAATGTGGCTCTCGTTTTATTTTTTTCTCTCAATGTAGTTTTCTAATTCAAAAAATAAATTTAATGTGATCTTTTAACTAGTATTTTTCGTCGTTGACCGTTACGGCGGTTCACAATGATGACGTGACAGTTCACAGTGTTAACATGGTGGTCCACGATACTGATATGACACGGTGGTTGATAATGTGGCGGATAACATGATAAATGAGTTCAATTGGTAACTCAAACACATCAACCTAACCTGGATCGCCCGGCGACAAGCATACTAATGAAATCATGACATGTGAAGAGAATACAATGAAAGAATTCAGCAGAATTAAAATAGGCTGCTATTTAAGCCATTAGCAGGCAAAAGTTCCTTTGTAATCCTCAAGTTGCTATTTAGATCCTTGTGTTTATGACTCCAAAGGTACATTTTGACACTCCAACACTCTTCAAAAACGATGCTAAATGGGGCCTAAAACACAATCTCTTTATGCACTTGAACAAACCATATGCAAACCTTAAAGAAAAAAAGATTCAAGTATGGATAATCAACAAAAAGGATCATTGGGGCTGAGCATGGCATAGCATGATAGGTGAAAGCTAAAAGAAAAGTGCATAAAATCACCCCCCCCCCCCGCACACACACAAGAAAAGAAAAATACTTACAAGGATGATTTTAGTCTCATCCAACTCTCTCTGAATTTTCAACAATTTATCAGCCTCTGCAGGGTCCTGAAAACGGTGAAAGGATCATGCAAGGTGTGAGATTAATTTGAAAAGTTTAATTATACACCCCATATTAAAACACATCATAAAGAATGAGAAGAAAACAGACACCTGAAACTTGGTCAAAGCCTCATCCAAATAGGGCCAAGCTTGAGTGCTATCAGCTTGTGCAGATCTCCATGATTCCCCAAAACTTTGTTGGTATTCATCCACCACCTGCCAAACATTACCCTTTGAAATTTTCCAAAGAAACCCACAGAGTATTCAATCTCACAAACATATTTCAGAACACCAAAAATGCATACCAAATGTGATGAATGCGATCGACAGACTCTTGACATCATCTTAAAGACTTCAACTATCGATGTATTATACACACAGACACATCTACCACCACCCATCGGCCCTGTCCATCTAGTTATTTCTATCAGACGCAAAGAGAAAGGAACAGAAT